TCAGCTTGAGCTTTCCAAATGAGTGTGCAAATCCGAAAGTCGCACGTTTATCGGGGTTCCAAAGACACGATTCAAATCGAGTTATCAAAGAATTTATAGAAACGTGCAATCAAAGGTGTGATGCTTTCGTTTGAGAAATTTCCTGACGAGGCATGCATCATGTCGATATCCAAATGGAAATAACAAAACGTCAAGTAACGATCCAGGGATTTTATGCAATTTGGAGGCCCAGAATTGACAACTAGGGGTGTAAGAAAAGTTTTCTGATGCCTAAGTGGTGGGCGAATTCGCCAAGTAATGCACTCACATCCGGTTGGGACCAGTTTCTGTGCGTTGTACGAGTCAACTAGCACAGTCGAAGTGAACAGCTGAACCTGAACTACGTGATGACGGAGAAATAGGCAAACAAACCTGTAAGACCCTTAGAATTATTCCAGGCTCTTCGGTTATGCTTCACTGTTTGTCTGTCAGATTTTGGTGACCTGTGTGAGAAATTCACCGTGGTGATGAGGTAATTTTAGTTAGTTGCTCACAGGTTCACTCTTAATACCGTTGTCATATGCACACCTGGCCTTGTAGTACTAAGTGCGGACCAAAAGCCCCACAGGAAACTCTGTTATGCCGGTGATACATAGAAAGCATCAATGGGTATGAGCTGATAAGGAACGGGAAAAATGTGCCCAAGTGACTGAAAGCTGCAAATTATAGAAGGCGTTGATAGTGTATCGCATGATGCCTTACAATTAAAAATTTGAGGGAAGAATTTGAAAATGAGCACAAGAAGTTATGTGATAGCGCACACTAGCGGACAAGCACAACCATCCGGCGCTAAAAACCCATGAGCTGTTTGTAGTCAGACTGAAAGTGCTAAGGAATTTGGGTCATTGTGAAACGTAGGCCGAAACATCATCTGCTAACGATGAACGAAGGTGACCCAGTGGCTACTCAAAAATACACTTTCCACGAAAGAAAGAAAAGAAAGCGTTCAGCTGTAGCACCCTTCCGGTGCCTAGCTGCCATGCCACCCGAAGGGAGCACGAGGGCTGGGATACTGCCAGGTTGCCCAAGCCTAGACAGGGGAAGTAGAGTGGCGGAGGTCGGATTCGAATCGCGGACCTTCAGGTTAGTAATCCGCGTTCTAACCACTTCGGCCATCTCGCCCCAGTTAGATCCATATCCCTCATAAAATCCGCAAGAAGCACTGCCAGGTTGCGCAAGCCTAAACATGAGTAACCTCAGGCTCAGGTCCAATCACCTGAGCCATCCCGATTGCTGTCGGACAGGAGTTACAAGAACTTTCACGACTGTGTTCTCCGAAAATATAGTTCCCCGCGTCAATGCTTTGGCTCACGTCTTCTAAGAGGACCACGAAAGAGTTGACTTGAAATCCAATCATGAAAGTTCTAGTCTGAGTCACTGAAAGGTCCTGAAATAAACTTGGTGGATGGTACGCTGGGTAGACACGTATTTTCACTGTTCCATCCATTGGTCAGTACTGATTATATATAAAATTATATGCAAAAGGTGAGCCGATTACAATAAAGCATATATGAGGGGGGGAAACCCGCGGATGCGCCATCACAAGGGCCGCATAATGTACAGCTGTGTGTGGAACATATGGCCTTGTGTTATCGGGGGACAAGAAGTAAACGCGAGGTCAGTTTATTCGGAGTGAGTGCACAAATCTCCTTTCTACACCAGTGGCTATAGGCTTAGCAATCTGACCACTTACGATCGGCCCAGAAGACAGTCCAAAATAGTCTTAATAAACTAACGGTTGAATGCTTCAGGCGTGACTACTGTTCAGTGAAGAAACGACGATGCACTTCCATCAAACTGACACAGTTACATGATAGCTTTGTTAGAATAAATCACTTGAGAGAGTGAGCGAGACGGAGAAAGCGGTTGCATTCATGATGCAACCCTAAACGAAAAATTATTCATTTATCGGCAGTGATTGAGTGTTGGAAGCCGCTGAAAAACTTAATTTGTGTTCTAAAAAACCCTAACAGCTAGGCTTTACGGAGATTTCGGGGATTGTAAGGAGAGTGTATTTAAGAGTTGTGCAGTGGAGTCAAAGTACAATATCTCACAAGCAGATGGTTTTGTGCTGATTTTTTTTAAAATTACTTCGAATTTCGTACCCTCAAAGTAATAAAAAAAATGAAAACGTTATAGGTAGTTTTGGATGGGATAGGCAGCACTGTGGCCTCTCGTGAAAGCGGAGGTTTGTCTTACGTACTTCCGCCAGTGTTTGTCCGTGTCGCTCCCGTCCTCCGGACTGGTTAGTCTTCCCCCCAACGTAAAAGGCAGATTAGCGGATTCAACAGAGATGCAACACCCCAATTTGAAAAAGTTGTCGGGAATGTGAGTGATCCCGTTTTTTCTACTGGCTGATACATGATGGGCCACTTTAAATTGGAATGCGGTACCTCAGTCATGTCAGCTGCCAGACCACATTTAGGAGTCACCATCATTGTCAGCTGTGTGATCCAACTCCAGAAAACCAGAACCCAGTCATGTCGCTGCCAGACCACATTTAGGAGTCACCATCATTGTCAGCTGTGTGATCCAACTCCAGAAAACCAGAACCACACTGTTTTCCAACCACATCTTGTGGAAGTTTGCCGCTAACCCCCAAAACTCCATCCACGTTATTACGATTTTGTGGATCGAGCCGAATAACTGCCAGCGACGTAAGATGTATGCGAGTGGTGATAAAGACAACGAGCACATAAATTACCGCTTCTTTTAGTTAAGACCGAGCAATAAACCCGATGTATGTAGGTCTACAAAGCCGAAATGTTTTGCTCTCAGGTTTTACCGAACTAAATAAACATAGGCCCACAAACAAAGCATTGCACACGTGCGGCACAGGCCTCATCATCATCATTGTCAGCTGTAAGAACCGCGTACTGGTCGTACACTGGTTGTAGCTGCCACAGTTTCGTTCACCGATGATT